ATTGTAAGGTAGTCAAACTTGAGTACTAAGTGAGAATTTACTTGGATGCTGTGATCTGCTGGTAAGGAAAGCTGCAACTGAGAAACATAGTCCAACAGATGACTGGGGTTTTGTGCTCATAAGCTTCATTAGGCTCTCATAGTCAGCTTTGGTCAGTTTAATCTCCTCTTGTGTGTCATTTGTGTCAACAGTGGAGACAATATTTGTCGCAACCTCCCCTCTGCATCAGGGGCTCGCTCGCGAATTGGTTTCAGAGTCGCCATCGACCGCGTTTTGGGGTGGATCGAACACTCTTTTCCGGTTTTATTATTAAGGTTAAAACCAAGAATCAGGTCTGTGAAAGTTTTAGATGTTATAGGTTCGAGAGTACGATTACGAGTGAGGAAGTGTATTCACACCCGACCACGCCCTAGATTTAAACTACTTGGATCGATAAGTTATTAAAGATTGGATGTGATTCTAATTGCAGTGTATTTTTGTATTTAATTGTAACATTCGATTATTTTTTATTATTCTCTGGTATTTTTTATGGTCCAATTGGACGATATGATTAGTGTTAATTTTGAATTATTATAGTCACTTGATAATTTCTACGTTTATTGACGTAAAAAGGTTTTTAGATTGTCTATACTTGAACCTATTGGTTGCCTACGTACCCGAGTTGATCGGGATCAAAATCCACGTAGTTCGATTAATAAAAATTTTTTATCGAAAGTCTAGACATATTATAATGACATTCGTTTGGGAATTGGTTTAAAATTTGATGTTCGTTTTAATCTTTTGAAATTTTGATTTGGAAATATTGACTTGGAAGGAGATTTAATACGAGAAAACTACCATAGTCTATTGACCATGGCATTTCGTATTAAGTGTCTCTAAACAAAGTAAAATTACGAGCAATCATTTTTCAAAATAAGGTTAAATACTTTAATATTAGGAATTTTTAACAGTTTTAGAATCTACACATAATATAATACGCCGAAGGGAAAAACGGGAGTCCCATTTCAAATTTCCTGCAACGAGAGTAAAAGTAGGAAGGACATTTTGGTCTTCACAATTACTTTTTTTTATTCATTAAAAAGACAGGTACTGGGATTCGAACCATGACCCTTTTAAAGAAAAGCAAGGATAATAACCAATCACACTAAGTACATTTGTTGTATCTTTTTAAATTAAAAACATATAATAGCTGGGAGGAAAAAACCCTTCCCCAATTTAAAATTTCATGCTCCAGGAGCGTTTGTAGGAAGGGTAGAATAGGGAGTGTCAATTTTTTTCTCTTTCCTCTGTGGAACGGGCCAACTTACCGTACACATGCGGATTTGAACGGATCCAGGAGTGTCAATTTTTTTTCTTTAAACCCTTTTATTTCACCGTTGTGATAAAATATATATGAAAAGGCAAAAATAATACTTCTTTTTATTGCTAAAAATAAAAAGTTTAACAATAAACTAATGCATGGTATCTAATGGGCTAACCGCTAACCATAAAATAAAAGAGTTGAATGGGCCTGACCTACATGAGATTTGTCCATCAAGTAAAACAAATGAATATCATTGGTTTGCCATTCTAAAACAAACTATTTTCTCTTGCATAATATATCTTATGCTATTATTTTATATCTTAGTGGCTAAAATATATTGTATTTTAAAGTTATTCAATGGTTCAACCTCGACCAACCCAATTAGTCCAATTTTTATCATTTCAAATATATATTTTATAATTATTTGACATCATAATGATCAAATTATAGTGTATTTTATAGGGAATCGTTTGATATTCGTTAGTAAAAAACTAAACATAAAGATCTATTTGGTTATTTTATACATTAAAACGATCCTAAACATTTTCAGTTCCTTTTGAATTTCTATGGTTTTATTCCCGAATAAGTGATGTGCAAATTGCGAACTGTAATCGTCTCTTTTCTTTCACTATTTTTTATTTTCAAATAGAAAGTTTAAAAGTAAAGAATAATTAGAATTTGGCATGGGTCGGTCAAACAGGCCGAATTTCAAGTTTTGGTCCGTTTGTTTTATGCATTGCAAATTTATTATCATGTTGTTGGAAATGGCTTGGAAAAAAGACATATAAGTTGTACCTTTGCAGAAATGTCCTCAAATGTTTGAATGCTTTGTGAATCAGGTTCCGTGACTTTTGTGATGGTGTATGTGCTTGACGGTTGCTCGATGTTGTAATTACTTAATTTGAGAGTAAATCTTTTGATTTTCCCTATGAGTTGTGATACCAGTTCTGGTGGTTGCAGCATGTTGTCGTTGTTGGCCTGTAAAAGTTGTTCCGCCGTGATGCTAAATATTTTTCTTTCTTTTTTAACAAATTGTGTAGTAGTGCTATGAAACAGACCACCCATGAACGCTACGCTTATTATGGTCTGTTCTTACTTCCGGTGGTGAGAAATTGTGAATTGAGAATCATATTCGCCTACCGCACTGTGTCTGGCTGGTGGCTGCTTACTGTGCTCTCTATAGTTATGAAACAGACTACCCATGAACGTTACCCTTAAGAGTCCATAACTTTGCGAAAAACCAAATTTAGGCAATCAAAGGTGGTGGATGTGTGATGATTTTTTATGGCTTAATTGTTTGTGAATTGGATATCTGATCTTTGTATAATTAGATGGGATGTTTGCTTAATAGAATAATCCATTTTAATTCATGTTTATTTTTAACATGAACTTTAGTTACTCAAAACCTTCCAGACACATATCACCTACTGCATTGTATCATTTTGCATGGGTGCTTGCTGTGTTGTCAAACTTCTTTGCTGCTGCATTTACACTAACAGGGGAGTTAAGAACGCATGAATGTTTCCGTTCGACACAAACAAGAGGACTTACTTCTAAATCGTGCACTAAAGATGATTGGAGGAAACATCTCTGTTGCAGTTAATATACTGGAGACCATAACAAAAGCAACGTATAACATCAAAACCAACCATCTGAACTATTACCATTGTTGCTTTACTCTTTTTTCGTGGTTGAGTCTCCTTCAAAAAATTTAGTTTGATCTTAGAAAATTTTGCTTCTGCAGTCCTGTCTTGCCACCAACGCGTTCAGTAGATGGAGATGGCAGACGCGAAGGCTATTTTTGTGTTGTTGTTGCTGGTTTAGGGATCGATTTGTGAAGAAGAGGGAGAAGAGAGGGGGAAAGGGAAATGCAGGAGAGGGGGATAACTCTTTTCTCCGACGAAAATGGAGTGAATAAAGGAATTATGATCAGTAAGGATATGGTTATCTTACATAACGGTCTCTATTCTGTTTGAATTGAGCTTGGGAGGCAGTGATAAGGACGAGCTGCAACCAATTCATAGTGATAAGAGTGCTATGAACTGTGATCATGTCTTATTTCAAGTTAGAAGGTAGTTTCAGTATAAGGATTATTTAGTTTGACAAGTTGTTTCGTCCATGATTCTTGGTAGTTTCAGTGCCATTCTAGCCATTGTTTAGTCTGTAATTTTTTAGAATTGATGTGCGAGTAATGACTTTCACTTAGCTTCAACTATTATGTGTGTATTTATTGGCATGTGATAGAATTCTCTTTTGCTTTTATTTGAACTCAGTTTCATACTCTAATTGTATCATTTGTACATAGGAAAATTATGCTCGAGATGACAACTCGCTGATATGGCTGGTGCAAGGAATGAAGCCATCATTAGAATTCAGACCGACAACGGGGAGGGATGCCCAGGACTAATTCAATGATGATTAGGAATGGCAATGGGGCAGGTCCGGGGCGGGTTTCTTGGTACCCAGACCGGCCCATGGCAGGTCGAGTCCAGGTCGGGTAATTGATCACGGGTCATGGGTCGGGGCAGGTCGACCCAATGGGTATGCAATTTATATGAAAACATTAGAAATATTCGTTATTTTTATTATAAGATTAAGAAAACAAACAATATTATGACAATTGTAGTTAAATTATTGGAGAAATTGAGGTTTTTACTAATTTACAACTTTATTATAGCTAAAATATGATGCAATAAAAGGAAAATTCTAAGTAATTTGACTAAGATTACATGTAATTTAGACAAGAACGGGTCGAGAATGGGGCGGGTCAGGGCAGGGCGGGTCGATGAGACAACCCATACCCGCCCCGCCCGCCCCGCCTACGGGGCGGGTCGGACGCCCCAAAACAGGTCAAACAGGTCGGGTAAAACGGGTTAGGTCGAAATTGCCATCCCTAATGATGATTGATGATGATATAATAAAAAAGTCTGCATCAGCACCAATTTCTAGGCCTAAGTAAAGTTATTCAACCCAGAACTTTGCTTAGCGCTAAAAATTGCCCTCACCCAACCTTGATCCTGTTTGACCCACTTCTGAAGAGTCAAGATATATGACTAATCCTCTCCGTTCGTATTTTCTTATTGACTCTTTCTGACCCTTTAAGTTGGGGCGGGTCGGGAAGAATCGGATTAGTGGGTCGGTCCTAATCAAGTGGGATCTCAATCCTTTCACTCTCACTTGCTTTCTCTCTCATTCCACAAGTGGGTAACATGCAGTAATCCGGCCAACGGGCCGGGTAATAAGCTAATAATTATTAAGAGAGATGAATTAGATAACGTGTCTTGTTTAATTTAAGTTTGCATATCGAGGTTTAAGTTTATAAATCATATAGGTTAATAAATACTCATGTATTTAACAATTAAATTACTGGTTAAACGTGCTTATTATGGCCTTTAATGATGTCGAGGTCTCGATTTCGAAACCCAGATGAGTGTTTTCCTTGGCGATTTTGTTCTTAGAAGAGATCAAAGTGGGGGCATTTTAGTAAATTACCAAAAATGTGGTAGCAAGGCCACGTAATTTTTAGGAAACGCTAGGATAGTTTTAGTAATTTTATCAAATTAGGTATAAAACCCTCTCTTAAGACCAAAAAAGAAACCCGGTCTCTTTAACCTAATTTAAGCGGCTCATTCTCTCTCGCCTCTTTATATCTTTCTCTCTTCTCTTTTTGACCAACAATAGAAAGAAAACCCTAAAACGATCGGCTCTCATCTCATCCTTCACTCCCTCATTTGCTCGATCTGCTTTATCCTTCGCCTTTTTTTAAACGACAAGGGGAGAGGGAGAAAGGAACAATAATAATGATGGAAGCAAAGGCGACGAAGATTAGCGCCGATGATAATGTTATCAGCGGTGACGAAGTTAAGATCGAGATATTTTGGGTTGCATGTCGTTTTCTTGGGGGGTTTTCCAATTTTGGTTGGATCGGGAGTTTCTGATTCCTCTTCTTTTATTTTTGCTTGATTTTATGCACATATGAGCGAGGAGAAAAAGCAGATAGCTAGCTCAAACGGGCATGGGCGAGTTCAAAATGGTGGCGGAGTAGAGAAACATTGTGGTCGATTTCGAACGGCGGCGGCTAGGTGAAACGCTGATGAATTCGAAACAGTGTCGGGGAGAAATGCCGGCGAGGGTCAGCTCTGCCTTCTATTTTTTTTATGTGTTTAAGTAGTTTCAAGGCTATTTCGAGGATCTGACGTTTTTTCTTTTCTGGGTTTGATCTAAGGTTTATGGGAAAAGGAGGGATAAGGTGGGATTCACCGACGATGAGCCACATTAGTGGTGAAGACAACAATGGCAGAAAGGTGATCTTTGCTGTATTTTTTTTTGGTGTCTTTCTTCTAAACTAGTTTTAAGTGATTCTGAAATCATTTCCTCTCTTAACAAAGATCATCAAACTCTAGCTAAAGAAAACATATTTTATTAGCTATTGACAATCACAATCCAAACTGATATAAGTTTAAACAAAATAACATATTTTACATGTTTTATTAGCTAAAGAAAACAGATTTTATTAACTATTGCTTATCTTAAAGATTCCAATAACATATCTTTAGGCTAATTATTAATTTTGAGAATATTTTAATAGTTCGTTCAAGATTAACAACTGCCTATATCAAATAAATTAAATTCTTTAAAAATTGCTAATTGCTTATCTTAAAGAAATTAAATCCTTCAAAATTCACAATATTTTAGCCCAGACAAAATGGGGTGTCTACAGTATTAGCATATTGCCTGTTTCTGGTGCTGCCCCTTTGACTCGCTAAAACACAACTCCTAACAATGGCCAAGTGTAACCAATGAAAGGGACTGCAGTATAGTGGCTCAAGTAATAAATATCGAATCCACGGGTCTCTAGAGTTACTATTACTCAGCTTCAGTTCATTATCTAGCAAAACAGATCAAGATGAAAGAACTAAAACTACTCTAGCAAACTACAGTTAAAGTTAATCTAATTACAGGTTGGGAACTCACTTAGGTATGATTCCCCCTAGCCACTAGCCAGATTAACGATCGATGATTTCTAACTTGTTTCACTTCATTCACAATGCGGAGAATCCTTGACTAGACCTTGTGTCTCGACTAAAGGAACAAGGCCCTCTTGAGTCAATTGCCTAGAGGGATGTATCCTTCTCTAGAACAATCGATCAAGGCGTTCTGAACTAGACTCCCTCTATCGAATGAGGTTCTCAATCGATACAAAGCAGTGAATCAACCCTCGACTAAAGCAATCGATCCACTACTATCAATCTATGGTGCTCTATTGACCTAATCAGGTATTCGCTCTCATAGGATCAAAGCAGAATCAATAATCTCGACTAAAGCAGAATTCAATCGTGAAAACATGCATAGATTGAATATGAACTCAAGATTATCAAGTCAGAGTACTCATACAATCATCCAATCAAACAAACATAGCTAGGGTTCCTCAAAACCTAAGTGAAGGGAAGTTACTCCATAGAGAAGAGAGAAACTGCAGTAAGAATCTTCAGATGATCAGTCTTCAAGTCCGGGCTTGATTCCCGAGCTCCAATGGCGAAGAAATCCTCCAAAATAGCTCCAAGAGTGTTCCCAAGTCGCTCTCTCTCTCTAGGGTTCGTCCCTTGGGTGTTTGGGATCCAAAACCCAGCTCTCTCCCTTCCTTTGGCTGAAAATCGGGTTTTAAACAGCAATTCCCGACTCGCACGGCCAGGGTGCACGGCCGTGCACATCACCATTCTGGCCGTGCACTCCAAAACGCGGCGTATCAATAAGTCGAACCTCAACCAACTCGCACGACCAGGATTGCACCTTGCACGGCCGTACGGATTTCACTTGTGCCCGTGCGTGCCCACGCACAATCCCGCACGGCCAGGCTGGTCACTTGCACGGCCGTGCGTGCCCACGCACAATCCCGTGCGTGCCCACGCACAATCCCGCACGGCCAAACTGGTCACTTGCACGGCCGTGCGTGGCCACGCACAATCCCGTGCGTGCCCACGCACAATCCCGTGCGTGCCCACGCACAATCCCGCACGGCCAAACTGGTCACTTGCACGGCCGTGCGGGTTGTGGGTGTGCCCGTGCGACTTCCTCATAACCTCTCCATGCGTCCGATCCTCGTCCAATCGACCTCAAACTCGCTCCCAAGCCTCCATTCACGTACTAGGACCTGAAATATCATAAACAAGCACAACCTAGCGTGAAATCGGCCTAAAACACGAGAATCAATACCTCAAACGGAGTAAGAGCAGGGGTAAAAACATGTGTAACTAACGGTCTATCACCCTTCCAGCTCCCAGTCGAGCTTGACGAATAACCATGTTTGGAGAAGCACTTTTCCTCACTGTGACAAAATTTCTTGAAGTAAGTACACTTCACTGGTCTTCCAGATGGATTGGACCACTTTGGATTCATTCCTGGGGGCCAACCATGCTTATGAAAACATACATACTCTGTGTGACCATGAGCTTTGCAGTGTGTACAGTAGGGTCTGCCTTTCTTGTTTGTGGAGATGTGACTTGGAGAGGCCAAAGCCATAGTATCAGGAGTCATTGTCTTGCCCCGTGGAGTGCCATATTGTTGCCTTTCATGTTGAAGTATCCTTTTCAAAAATCAGTCAATGGATGGCAAAGTGTCTACAAAAATAAATTGGGATCTCACACTATTGTAGTTGTCATTGAGTCCTCTCAAAAACTGTATGCCATAGTTTGTGTCCCTATAGATAAAGGCTTGCTACATAGCCCTACACGGGTTGTGACTAGTAGGAGTGCAGGTACAAGGATCTAAGGGTTGATAGTTGTCAAGCTCATTCCTTAAGGCTATTAGGTCACCATAGTATTCAGTCACAGATTTGTTACTTTATTTCAATGTAGCTAGTGCTTGATGAGCTCTACAACCTTGACTATATCCCCTTGTCCGTATTGAGCTCTAAGGCTTCTCCACACCTCTGAGGCCTTCCTAATAGATATGATGGTCTTCCTGATTCCAGGGGAGACTGCCTTTTGAATCCAGGAGAGCATCATGTTGTTGTTTTGCCTATGCCCAGGCTATTGCGTGGTCAGCTGCTGGTTCAGCTAGAGTACCATCAATGAAGCCAAGTTTGTTCTTGCCCCCAAGAGCATTGTGCATTGCCTTACTCCAATCGTTATAGTTAGTGGTGGTGAGCTTCTCTGCAACAAGAAATAGACCAGGTTTTCATATCCATGGAGGTAGAATGGATCCGCCATAGGGTCTGGATTTGCTGCAGGTGTTATTATTGTTGCTGTTGTTGTTGTTGCTTCCGCAACTATGGCTACTAGTGGCGGCTAGGGTTTCTAGCAACCAGCTTCTGATACCATAACAACAATTTGTGGTTGTGGGAACTGAAAACCTGTCTCGTCTCGTTGTTTTGGCAGCTTATATAGCTGGATCAAAGTAGCAGTACAAGAAAACCTTGCTTCAGAAGCAAGTACAGACCATAAACAAAAAAAGTACTGAAACTTAACATTTGGACTAAAAGTGTAAAATGAGAATTTGGTCTTGGTACGCTGCCGTTCCGACGAGTTCTTCTAGTCAAACAGAAACGATGTAACTCCAACTTCTTCTTACTTCTTTTTGATCAAAGCGCACAGGAAACTCAATTCTTTTGAATTTTCTCTAGGTATATTGTTCTTGCCAATTCTACTGATAGAAGGATTCAAAGAATGGAAGGGAGATGGAAGTTTCAAAGACAAACGTTTCACGTTTCTTTAGCTTGTAAATTTTGGTATCAATTTACATCAACCACGAGAAGCTTGTACCTTCAGTTTTAGCCCTCACCAAGTTGACATCTGGCATTGACAGTTAGGACATCCTAGTGGTAGTGGTGATAGGCTTCCTTAGTAAAAAAACCTAATCCCACAGTAACAATGCAGTATAAGAGTGAAATTTGAGACTTGTCAAATGGATTTTGTAAATTGACAAAGAATCAATTTGGTGATAAGAAATTATGAGGGTAGGGAGTTTCAAATGTGTGAGTTTTTCCAACGTTACTAGAAAGCTTAGATTTAAGTCAAATTGTATAAGTTACTAATGATATTAAGGAGAAAGAAAAATTGGCATTCTCGCTCTGGATTTGGTTGAGTGGAAGAAGAGAGGACAAACTTTGATAAATAAAATTAATAAGAGTGATATTTTGATAAATTTAAAAACAAACTTTTAGCCAAATATCTTATTGATTGCCTAACACATATAGTAAAAGATTAAGTATGTGCCATAGAGCGTCCAGAAAGATAAAAACGAGATTTTACTTGCTATAGAAGATTTTACATAAAATACAATAGGTGTTACGGAAGCTTTACGTAATGGACGGTTATTTTACTTAATGAATACCAAGATTGCATTACATAAAGTGTAAAGTGATTACGTAAGTCTTGCGTAATGCTTCCAATTTAATTGTTACGTAAGAAATAACTATGTTTCGTAACCTTTACTTAATGGAAGTTCCTTTTACGTAATGAGTATTAACCTCGCGTTATGTAAAGTACTAAGTTATTATGGAAGCCTTACGTAATGATTGTGATTTAACTGTTTTGTAAGAATTAACTATCATTTCGTAAACTTTACGTAATGGATGTATATTTTATGTAACATATATATAAAATGTCATTACGGAAACCTTACGTAATGGAAGGTCTCTTTACGTAATGAGTATTAACCTCATGCTACGTAAAGTGCTAAGTCATTACGGACGCCTTACTTAACGCTTCTAATTTAACAGTTACGTAAAAAATAACTATCGTTACGTAACCTTTATGTAATGAATTTGTATTTTACATAATGAATATTAATCTTGCAATACGTAAAATGTTAAGTCATTACAAAAGCTGTACGTAACACTTCTGATTTAACTACTGACATAAGAAATAATTATTTTTCGTAACCTTTAGGTAATGGATATTAAGTACAATAATTAAATAAGAAAAAAATAAACAGAAAAATAAAAAAGAAAAAAAGACACATCAAATAAAAAAGGAAATAAGTGTTAACATGGTTGAGAAAAAAAGGAAACAAGTGTTCCAGCAAAACTAAAAGAACCCCGACACACTGTTGCGGGTTCGGATCAGGTGAATAACCTTAGAGTCAGTAATGGTGAGTAAACTGTCCACATTAGCTTGACATCAACATTATATCTCTTATGAAAAGTATTTAATCTTTTCCACTTTAATCTTTAACGGGTGATTTCTCTCTCATTTTAAGCTGGCATTGAAATTTTTGTGCATAGATAAATCAGATTAATTGTGCTCTTCAAAATGATATCCAATTTGATATATTTTTAGAAAAAAATTGAGGCATTTTTTACGAGGCATTTTTTACGAGTTTATACCATATGGTATTAACTATTATTAAAAAAGAGCATACCATATGGTATGAAAGCGTACCATGGTGGTATGAACATACCAAGACTGTAGGATGGTTGAATACATGATAGTAGGAGTATACTAACTGTTATTTACGACTTTAAATATTGTGTACCACAAGTTACCACCCCCTATACCAAGGCGGTATAGTATGGTATTTTTTGGTCTTGTATTTTTTTCACCTAGAAATTTGTAGATCTAATAGATCATGATGAACTCTTTCCTTCTGTGCAAATATTTTCAAAAACGACTTAAAAACGAAGGAGATACCATTTGGTATGGAGTTGGTAACGAGTGGTATAAAAAAAAAGATTCTCAAAAAATATTGTCAATTGATCTCATATTGTAGAGCACAACGAACTCGTTCCATCTGTACAAAAAAAAAAAATTGAAATCCAAGTTAGAACGAAGAAGATAAGAGTTGATTAAGAAAACTAGGGGAAATAAAATGTCTTTAATTCACAACCATTAGATCTGGATTTTCTGGGTCCATTTAAATCCAAAAGTTCAGATTTAGTTACTCATGGGTGAGTAACCAATGGTTACTGACCTTATCTTGAGCCACCAGTTGCCGTTATTTTCTATTTTCTATTTTTTTTTCTTTTAATCAATGACTTAAAGTTATTAGACTATATTTTAGTAGTTCAGATTTAATCAAGTTACTTAACTCAAAATTATACCCAAGTTACTGTAGGGAGTCCAATTTTTTTTTAAAATTAAGTTATTAACATTATTTAGTATACCAAAATTAGCTTAGAAGCCTAGAGAGATTTATGGTTTCTCCATCGTAAAAAGAACATGTGCATTGCTAGTTTTTTGTGTTTACTGCTTAACGTTGAATCACATTATTGATGTGGTTTACACGGTAATCCCGATTAATTCTAAATGGTAGACTTTCATCTCTTTGGATAGATATTTTTAGCACTTTAGTGGATCCCTTTTGGGTTGACCAAGTTGCAGGGAAATCTTATCGTAATTAAGATACTTGAAGAAAGGGAAATCGACTTCAACAGTCTATCAGTTAAGGTAATTTATTTTTGGTCAATTTATTCATGGTATTAATGATGTATATTAGATGATGACTCACTCATAATGCCTTATCTTTTCTTTCGAGGAAATTCTCAACTGGCCGTCAGAGTTGCTTCAGAGAGGAAGTCTTTCCATTTGAGAGTGACTCCATTATAAAGGAAGTTCTTCTTTCTCTCTTCTCACCCCCTATGTCAGTTTAGTGTCTTTTTACTCCTTGGAGATTTCATAGAGCTACCCTCTTTGTGGCATAACATGCTCTTTCATCGGGAGTCTGGTTGCATACGGACTACTATTCTTTATTATTGTTTGGTTTGTATTATTGTTGTCCGATCATGCAATGTGGGCTTATCTTGTTTTTAAAATAATAACTCATAAGTTCCATGTTGTGATCTCAATTGGATCCATCCATGGGTCACAATTACTTGTACAAGAAGCCTTTCTGACCCACATGAACACTACTGAATTTTGACTAAGATTTTTCCCATTGCAGGTTACCTACTTTGCAAGCATGGTCAACACAAATGGCCCAATGAGAATGAGGGATTAGAGGTTTATTTGAAAGTTGGAGTGTTCCTCTACAAATGAACGAGCTTGGATGCTCGAGAAGAAGACAAGCTGGTTGCTTGTCAAGTCTTGCAAAACCCTATGCTGAAATTGGAAAACTGCGAAGATTTCACCAAGTCTGGAAGACAGTTTGGGTACCAACCTTTGGAGCTCAGTTCGAAGAGTTTTAGGTAGAATCAAGTCCCAAGGTTGCAACCGCACGAAAGTACATTTCTTCTACTACAACGTACAGGCATTGGTTGATCGAAAACCTATCTTGAAGTCTTCGAACGAAAGCTTGCAAGATCATGCGAAGACTGGCCAAACTGACTTGCAACCCAGCGATCCGAGTCCTTTGCAAATTAGGATTCTTTATACCTTTTCCTGTTTGCATTTGATTTCTTAGTTTGATTCTGTTGAGGACTTTTGTATTGAGTTGTTAGCTAGCCTATGTCTATTTAAATACGTTCCATTACATTATAACAGGTAGAATTGATTAGTGGAATAAAACCTAATTTTTTGGTTCATTGAGCTTCAGCTTCGTGGATTGTTGAGTTGCGTGGTGGAATTCGGGGCTGCTTGAAAGCTTGTATCGATCAATCAACACCTTGATCGTGACCAAGCATCGTTCTATCTAATTCGAGCCTTTCCCCGTTGTGTGGAATTGCACAAGATCGACCATCCATAACCATCAAATTCAACACCCTATTTTGCTTGAGTTTGAGAATTGAGTTAAGCTCAATTCATTGATGCGTGACTCTGGATACAAAGACCCATATACGACTTTATCAGTCCAATATGAAAAAGAAAATTTATTGTGATGTGTTGACCATTCATATATATATATATATATGGTGCCTTCTACGGTACCCCGGGTGCAATTCGGGGTACCGCATACCTTGAGTATGAAAACGCTATCTAGACCTCGAATTAGCAGGATTTTTGGGCATGATACTATACCCTAACCCTTAATAAGTGAACCCTGGGTCCTAATTATCTTAATCATTACATATAAACCCTAAGATGCTGCATTACTTTTTTTGCCTATACTTGGACGAATCATAACCGTCGATTATTGTTTCTAATTAAATTGATCTTGGGGTATAAGATTTAGAGAATTAAGACCTAGATTTTGATCTTTATGGGTTAGAGTATAATATAATGTCCGAAAGATCAGTCAACTCAAGTTCTAGATAGCGTTTTCTTACTTAAGGTATGCGGTACCCAGGATTTCACCCGGGGTACCGTAGAACTCCCCATATATATATATATATATATATATATATATATATGGT